TTCTACTTCTGCATGCCCTTGGTGTGCACTGCAATCTTCTACACCCTCATGACCTGCGAGATGTTAAACCGGAGGAATGGCAGCTTGAGAATTGCCCTCAGTGAACATCTTAAGCAGGTAAATCTATTATGATCATGAATACCTGGCCAAGACTTTTTGAAATCAGGAAGATGACAAATAGTCTTTTACTTCATAACAGTATTTCAGTGTCGGACTGCACATGTGACCGTGGTTCCATGAGATTCTAGTGGAGCTGGAAAATTCTCATTGTTTAGTATTTTTACTGTACCTTTTCTGTGCCTCGATATGTTTAGACACACAAACACTATTATGTGACAATTGCCTATGGTAATCAGGGCAGCATTATGCTGTACATGTATGTAGCCTAAAAGCAATTGGCTGTTCCACGTAGCCTAGGTATGCAGTAGGCTCTACCATCTAGGTTTGTGCAGGTATACTCCATGGTGTTTACAAGATGATGAAATTGCCTAACTATGTATATCTCAGGTCATATCCCTGTCCTTAAGCGACTCATGACCATATTATCTGTAGCAGATTTTGCTTGGTTTTCTAAAAATAAACATACTGTCTTGTAATTTTTTTATATAGTTACACTTTAGGAATTCCTTTTGTGAACTGGGGAGTTCCCCTGTAAAACAGATGGCCCTGGAGGCTGGGTCCAAAGGGAGAGGAACTATTCATTTAGTTTGCCAAGAATGTACTGAGCACGTGTATGTGGGTGTCTATATGTTATTTAGATTTGGAACTATGCCAAGACAGAAAGAAGCATATGATTTCCTTCCCTTGCAAACTTTACAGTCTAGTTGTAGAAATAAAATATAAACGTGAAACAGTTAGAAAGCAGAATGATAAAGTATGGTCCAAGTACCTTGTATTATAGAAGCTGGAAGGAATAAGAAATAGAATCATAGTGAAACTATTCATGAGTGAGGAAGATTGAACCAGACTTTGGAGGATAAATGGCATTTGATGGGGAAGAAGAGGACAGAAGCTATTTCAGTTGGAAAGAACAGAGTCTTGCCAGAACATGGAATGGGCACCATGTGTTTGGGGAGTAGGAAAAAAGGAGATGAACTTTATTAAAGCATCATAAAAGACACTTAAAAGGAAATAGGATTGAGTACATAGAAAGAGGTAAAATTTTGGAGGGTCCAAAGTTCTAGAAAGAATTTGAACATGTCAGTAGGGCAGCAAATGTTGGACAGCAAATAGAATAATAATGCTTTAGGCTTTACAAAGCAAAACTTGATTCTTATACTTTTGGGCTAGACGACTTTGGGCAAATTGTTTATCCTCTCTCAGCTTTTCATAAGGTGTATGCACTAATACATCACGGGGACTTCCTAAGCCAGGTAAGGTGCCTGGTAGTCCCCAATTCTAGTAGATACTCAACAAATGTTAATTTACTAATTCAAAGTACAGCTACGACTGCAGGTCAGTTTTCAGTCAGTGGAGGAATATGTAAGAACATCCAAGCACACCAGAAGTTACTGTGTGTTGGAGAGTGTAAATCTACCCTATGTGATTATCAAACACATGCATCACTCTTCATCAGCAGCTCTTTCAACTACTGTACTGATTTTTTCAGGCTTCAGCTCTTCATCTGTAAATTGGGCATAATAAGGTTTGAACTGATGTTATGAGAATCAAAGGAATTGATGTAGATGCGTGTACTGTGTAAACTCTAATATGTCGTACAAATGGTAACTATTATCCTTTATTGACATTTAGCAGGCCAATTACCTTAGTAAACGTTAATAGGACTTTGTTCAGGCATTAATGTTTCAAATACTCTGATGTGAATATACTAAGCAATTATTAACTCTCACCCTTGCAGTGAGGTGATTAATTGGATAAGATTTGTGAAACAGAGTATTTAAAATGTT